CGAAAAAAGACTACATTGCAATTTGATAACGCTTGCTAATTGCAATCGTAATAATCGCAAGCGTGATAAGCATAAACACACTGGGCAGGATTCTGGATATAGCATTTACTAAAAGCAACTACTACTAGTAGCCAGTAGTTAAATTTGAAATTAAGTAATTGATTATGTCAGATGCCGAAATGATTCAAATGATTTTGTTAAACAAGTTGTTAACTTGAAAAAGTGTACAATGCGATTTCATAACGCTTGCTAATCGCACAAACAGCTAATCACAAACAAGGATAGCCAGTTGTTGTGCAAATAGCCTAAAAATATTTAACCACAATAATGAAAAACACTAAAACAACAAGTTTTTTGTCTGTGGTTTGATGAGATACTACCAAACGAAAGTGAGAAAATTTAGGATATTCTAAAATAATAGTATATTAGGTTCCTTTGTTCTTTAAAAAACAGAAATTAAATCAAAATCAGAATTTGATTTTTTAATAATACAATTGAATTTTTGAAAAAATTTTTTATTCCACCAAGGCTTCAAAAAGACTGAAAAATAATTCTATAGGAGAAAGAAAAACTACGCTTTCACGGCTTAAGGAAAATGATGAAATTATCCTATTATAAGAAACACTAAACTTTCACGGCTTAAGCAAAACGATTAAATTATCCTATTATAAGCCTGCTGGTTCGATGATAGACTAAAAATTACAAGCAAGTCTTTCTAGACGCTGAGAAAACATTTTGAATGTCGTTCGAATTACGACTTAAGGACTTTATATCCTATATCACTCGACCCGTTCCCGTGACTTTGTGATACTTAAATATTGTTTCCCAAGCACTTCAAGTATCACAAAGTCATGGGAACGGGTCGCGTGATATAGGATATAAAGTCCCTAAGTCGTAATTCGAACGACATTCAAAATGTTTTCTCAGCGTCTAGAAAGACTTGTTTGTAATTTTTAGTCTATCATCAAACCAGCAGGCTTATAATAGGATAATTTAATCGTTTTGCTTAAATCGAAAGCTAAAACAGCCGAATACAAAGCTCCTCCCCACTTTGCAGTAGTCGGAACAGCAAGCCATTCAAAAATCACTGAACAAAAATAGGTTAAAATCAGGTACCCAGATGATTTAACTCATGAATGTCAAAACATATTTAAATCATGATTTCGCTAGTAAAGCTGCATTTTAAACGATAGTCAAAATTTTGAGAACAAAACTTATAGCAAAATTTACTGAAGCTCATTCAAAAAATCAGAAATCTTCATTAAAAATAAATAAGAAGTTTATTTATAGCATATTCTGCATTCGAAATAATTTACAATAGTACAATCAGCAAACTCATGCTCCTCAAAAGTCAAGCCGATTCATGTTAACCGTATAATTTTATCATTTTCAAGAAACCGTTAGGATTGACATTTTTTATGTTTACCAAATTTTCAAACCTAAATTATATTCGCACTAATTTCACAATGGATTTCGGTTAGCGTAACTAAGCCCCACTTAGAAAAAAAATTATTTTCAAATTAAAATGACTTAAAGTGAAAAACCACACTCCATTTCTTTCGTCAAACAACAATCACATCTTACAAATCTTTCTATATCCGCAACACAATCAACTTTTTAACAACATGAAATCTTTACCCAAAGTTTGAGGAAACACTTCACGAAACAATTTTCTCTAGGGTTAATGCTAACAGTTGTAAATATTAGTTTCGATTACTCAAATATGACACATCTATCCCACACACGTAACCTTAACAGTCAAAATAAAACGATCTCTCTTCGGAAGTGACTCTTCGGAAAAAAATCTATTTTCAAACTTTCCCAGCGTTTTCAATTTTGGACTACATAGGATTTAAAATTTCTGTAAAAAAAAATCGAAAAAACTTGCTCATTAAGCAAGCATGAAACTTTCCCAAAAATCACGCCTGAGATATTTCAGCCAGTTCTCAAAATTGCAGAAAAAGGTAATTTTGACGACTAACTTGAAAAATCTCGAACCTGAACAAGATAGCAACGGCTCCAAGAGTGATTAGATAGCAGCTTGCCGCCGAATACTTTCTAAATGGTACTTAAAAATTAATTAGAGTGGTCATTTGCTTAGCAAGAAGCACATAATGATGCAAATGCATTTATCATTGCTAATTACTTGTAAACATAGCCAACAAGTTGGAACTGTAAAAAGAACTCAAAGAAACCGACTGAAAGTTCATTAAAAAGTTTTCAAAATTCAAATACAAAATATATCACATTATGTATAGTTCTTTGAATTGTCTATGATTGGTACTTTTTTCTTCTTAATGAAAACTGGATCAATAGGTAGTTTTTTTCATTTCACGGATCTTCTGAAAATTAAAACCCAAAAAAGGCCGATCACCTTTTTGTGACCTTTAAGCATTCGCTGTTTGATAGTGGAATTTTCCTTCCTTAGCAAAGGAAATGAACTGAACATAACAATAACTCATAAGTCAATTGGCGAAACATCATATTTGAGCGTGAACAAAATGTGACTCTCCTGAAAAAAAAAAGCGATCAAAAAAACCCTCACGACCTATATAAAATGACATCACATAGTTCTTCCACACTTAACGATGATAGCCAGTTGCTGAGCAAGTATTGCAAAATGATCCGACATTTATCAATTTTTATCACATCTTTGTTTTTAGCAAGTATGGGAAGGAAAGCGGCGCTATTAAAAACTCAAGGAACAATTAAAGTGAGCTTAACCAATGCTCAGATCAATTTTGCTCAAAATTGGTCTGAATGTCCTAAAACTCGACACGGAAAAAAACTTGATTTTTTTTTTGGAAAACGAATCACAACCAAAACGGATACGTTATGTTGCCACACTTGATCTCTTACAAATTTTCCTGAAATACCTATATTCACAGGCAACAAAACACCGTGCGCCATAATTCCTCCCGACTTCGTGAAGTAGTCCGTAGATAAACAGAAAACTATTTAATAGTAATTTATCTAGGATAAACATTTTTGTTAATTTTTTTAAATTGTTAAGTTTAGTAGAGTCTCAGTAGAGTTGCAAAATCATTCAAACTTTGTTTTTTTTTTTAGTAAGCAATTGAACTTGCGTGGCCGCTAATCTTTCTTCTCGATGCTTTATCGCTACAACTGAAACAAAAATAAATAAAAATCTTAAAATTATTCGAAGGCAGGTGATTTCAATTCGAACTATTTTTATTTTTCTAGATTTTGGGATATCGGGTAGGGATTTTGAGGTTCTTCCAGAAAATATCTGTGCTACGCGTACACGATCAAAACAAAGCCAGCATCAAAACCTCGAAAGAATAACACAAAGCGGCTAATCTGCACTTCTCAAACACGAATAAGCTAAACGTTAAAAAGTAGCTCGTTTTCAATTATCGGAGCTCAAAAACTTCGTGTTAAAGCGGGCAAAAACGTTGCATAAAAATGATCTGATCGTATAACACTACGCTCGCAAGTTGCCTGTGTAACAATAGAGCAGTTCGAATAAAAAACAAGGCGCAAGGAATCAAAACTTCGACAGTTTATCATGACACGCTTAACTGTCAATCTTTCAAACTTATAGTAATTGCTTTCAATTCAAAATATTCTCATTGCGCTCTTTTTTCATCAATGTGCATGAAATTACCGCTCACACTGTGCGTATTTCATGAGCTGATGAGGTTGGTTTCAAACCTATAATAATTGCTTTCAATTCAAAATATTCTCATTGCGCTCGTTTTTAATCAATGTGCGTGAAACTACCGCTCACACTGTGCGTATTTCATGAGCTGATGAGGTTGGTTTCAAACCTATAATAATTGCTTTCAATTCAAAATATTCTCATTGCGCTCGTTTTTAATCAATGTGCGTGAAATTACCGCTCACACTGTGCGTATTTCATGAGCTGATGAGGTTGGTTTCAAACCTATAATAATTGCTTTCAATTCAAAATATTCTCATTGCGCTCGTTTTTAATCAATGTGCGTGAAACTACCGCTCACACTGTGCGTATTTCATGAGCTGATGAGGTTGGTTTCAAACCTATAATAATTGCTTTCAATTCAAAATATTCTCATTGCGCTCTTTTTTCATCAATGTGCATGAAATTACCGCTCACACTGTGCGTATTTCATGAGCTGATGAGGTTGGTTTCAAACCTATAATAATTGCTTTCAATTCAAAATATTCTCATTGCGCTCGTTTTTAATCAATGTGCGTGAAATTACCGCTCACACTGTGCGTATTTCATGAGCTGATGAGGTTGGTTTCAAACCTATAATAATTGCTTTCAATTCAAAATATTCTCATTGCGCTCGTTTTTAATCAATGTGCGTGAAACTACCGCTCACACTGTGCGTATTTCATGAGCTGATGAGGTTGGTTTCAAACCTATAATAATTGCTTTCAATTCAAAATATTCTCATTGCGCTCTTTTTTCATCAATGTGCATGAAATTACCGCTCACACTGTGCGTATTTCATGAGCTGATGAGGTTGGTTTCAAACCTATAATAATTGCTTTCAATTCAAAATATTCTCATTGCGCTCGTTTTTAATCAATGTGCGTGAAACTACCGCTCACACTGTGCGTATTTCATGAGCTGATGAGGTTGGTTTCAAACCTATAATAATTGCTTTCAATTCAAAATATTCTCATTGCGCTCGTTTTTAATCAATGTGCGTGAAACTACCGCTCACACTGTGCGTATTTCATGAGCTGATGAGGTTGGTTTCAAACCTATAATAATTGCTTTCAATTCAAAATATTCTCATTGCGCTCGTTTTTAATCAATGTGCGTGAAATTACCGCTCACACTGTGCGTATTTCATGAGCTGATGAGGTTGGTTTCAAACCTATAATAATTGCTTTCAATTCAAAATATTCTCATTGCGCTCGTTTTTAATCAATGTGCGTGAAACTACCGCTCACACTGTGCGTACTTCATGAGCTGTTCTTGTTGGTCCAAACTTTTTAGTTACCGCACTCAAAAGTAAAATCATCACTGGAAAAGGCAAATATTTCGAAGGACTGTCAATTTAGGAACTTTGGATCGCACAAACTCTCAGGAAAAAATTACGCACCAAGATGACTTCTCATCTACTCAAACCGGCTGAAAACAATTAGCTTTACAAAATTCAATTATAATCTATACACGTGTATTAGAAATAGAACAAAGAGCATTCTTGCGAATAAGAAACTATGACAGATTGATTGGGTTTCGGTCGGTGAGATTTCTCGCCAGAGAAGTTGCCTCAGAGACGTCATAATTAATCCATACATTGAATCTGAATCCGAAAAAACTACTCTTGTCAATTCACATTAGCTATACTCTATTTTTATAAGAGCAATTTTTCAATGTCAGGTATGATGTCATTTGGAGCCGTCTTCGGACCATATCTGTTCACAGGCACGCCTTCTTTGTTCACGAGGAATTTGCTGAAATTCCACTTGATCGCATCGAGAAGAGTCCCGCTTTGTTTCTTTTTGAGAAACACATACAGAGGATCCGCATTTGAACCATTGACCTTCAAAAAGAGTCATTAAGCATAGTGGAATACTGAACCAAGCACTAAATTTCATAACCAAAATGTTACTTTATACATTTTTGTGAGAACGAATATCAAAGTTTCCACGGCTAATTTTCCTTTCCATAAAACACAAAACTGAGTGAAATATTATTGAAACTACACCTTACATTAATCTTGGAGAATAGGTCAAAGTTGACGTCGTACTGCTTGACGAACTCCTTGATGTCTGCCTCGGTGCCTGGCTCCTGACCTCCGAACTGGTTGCAGGGGAAGCCGAGGATGCGAAGACCTTTCTCGCGGTACTGCTTGTCAATGGCACTCAGCTGCGTGTAATTGAGTGCCGTCAAACCTGAAAAAATCTCTTTTCAAAAATCACGTGGCCAAACTTTATCGGTTTACTTTTGGATGTATTTGTTTTCACTAGAACTAAATTATTGTTTGTCAGTTTACTTATCAGACCTCAAAATGTTGTAGCCCCATGAAAGATTAGGAGATCCGACATGTTATTATTTTCAAGCCCTTTCGGTAGTGATTCGGAACCAAATAGACCTTAATTTTTTTCTAAATGTCAAGAAAGGCTGATCTGAACATTTTCGTTTTTCTGCTGATTCGTTTAATTTGTAGGCTATTATATTATCTATTTGCTGAGATGAAATTCAATCAATTACGCTACTCAATGAAACAGCAGAAAATTTTGAAAAACAAAGAACTTTGGTCAAAAATCATGTCGAAAAATTCTGGCAACCTGACCTGCAGCCAGATACTCTTGGTTTTTAACCAACTATTACTCTTTTTACCTACTATCACGATTAGTTGTTGACTAAAAAAATGTTACGTTGGATGAACAACCCTTCTCAGAATAATTTGTTCTTTATATCAGCCTGATAAAATCACATGATGTTCCCTATTAAAAAATCTTACAGATTCAATCAATACTGTATCAGAAAAACGTAGATCAAGAACAATATTGATACTAAATTCACCTTCCCGGGGTGTAAAAATATCAAACCGTAAGCAGAGCTTTCAAACTATAAACCAAAATTGGAAACCGCGAAGATATGTTGTAGCTCACAGAATTTTCATCACGACATCACGGTTAATGGGCCATTCAAACAGTACCTCACTCGAACCCATTGAACGTTTCCGCATTTAATGACAGGCGTTAAGGAAACCATGAACAGCAAAATATCGCCCGAATGCAAAATTCTTTCCCATTCCTCTCAAACAAGTTCCTTGATAATTTGGAACAAAAAAAACCATTTCAACAACTCACCTCATTTAGATGCGACATTGACAATGAGACACACATTGCCTTTATACTTATCCAAGGTCACCTCCTCGCCGTCAATCGTCTTCGCCTTAAACTGATAGATAGTATCTTCCATTCTAGCTACACTCGAACTATTCTTCCAACCACAATTCAACTGAAAATGCGATTGTGATGCTGAACTGAAATTGAGAAAATTAGCCGCACTTTTGATATTATGCAGAGCAAATATTCTCCTTGTCACGCTACAAGCAATAGCAATGGTTGGCTGATTTGCGAACAAATCGATGTATCTGAAATTATAATGAAGTACTTTAAGTTACCACAAGTCAGGCATGACCTAAAACCTTTTAACTGAACGAGAAACCATTGAACCTTTTGGCCTTAAGTGAAATTTGAATGGCCACAATAATTGATATTTAAACAAACTTGAGATATTTTCACTAATAACAAAGTGACACTTGACTCTCCGCACTTCTGTTACTAAGTTTTTAAATGTCAAACTAGATTTTCGACAGAAGTGTGAGCTCTAACAGTTCCAAACGTTCCGAGTCTAAGAAAAACTTGTCACTGATCTTTTCAATTGGCGATAATCAGGTTTTATGATGATAGAATTTACACAGGTAAAGCGGAGCTTCGCAAAACGTGCGATAAATAGGATATAAAATTATAAACAAGACCATAATATTTTCTCCCACTTTCACAAAAAAATTAAAACCACAACAATAATTCATAAAAACTCTATGCCAAACACATACAAAAATATACGAGGATAGCCGATTGCTGTGCAAGAAGCACAGAATGTTCCGATCATATTAATAAAAAACTACAAATAAAAGTTCTTCAAATTATTAAGGATATCAAATAATTGTCGTGTTTGTACGTTGTGATGATAACTATACACGCGCGTAAAAAGCTAGCGAATTGGGCCCAATCGAAAACATTAGTCTTAAAAAATCAAACAACAAAAAAATTCAAAAAAAACTTTTTTTGAATTATTTTTTGAAAGTTTTAAAAAAAAACTTTTCTTGCCAGGGAAGTGCCAAATATAGCTTTCAAAATTAGTTTCCATTTCGAAAAATCTAATTTTTAGCCTAAACTTTATTCGGTCGAAAAAAGATCGAAAAATCAAAACAATGAAGCAATAGAAAGAAAATGATGAAATCATATCATTTCAATTTTTTTTTTAAAATCATATATAAATATTTAGTCAAATCACCCCTGTTTTTTCGCAAAAAAAGATCAACAGTGAGTACGATATGAATCAACAAAAAAACGAGCAGTAGAAAACTTTTCGCGAAAATTAAGGACCGTACTTAAACAGCGAGTTAGATTAGAATCGAAAAAGATCAACAGAAAAAAAGTAGTTCTTGATACTTAAATCTAACACTTAGAATGATCTGCCAAGACGGCATCCACTTCTCGTTCTTTGGTTATAAAATCTCCTGATAATCTGAAGATACCGTTCCTCCTCATATAATGTCTGATCAAACACATTGTATCATATGTAACAACCACCTACGCGGCCGTGGTATTTGGTGCACAACATGCGCATCCTACATGCAGGTAAAATGCAGCGGCTTTAACTGTGGCAGCGACCACGATGACAAATTCAGCTGCATTCGCTGCAACTCGCTGACTACAGACAACACTACAACTGACATCCAAGTCCCTCGAACTCAACGTCAACAAGCTCCTTCGACCAACAATCAAAATCCTGCAATTGCAAACAGCAACGAAACTGTAACAGCCACACCCGACCCCTGGTCAAATCCCACACCTGAACTAAAAGATAAAATGAAAACAATCTACAGCGAAGCAGTGCACTGGGAACCAGTCTTCAGGATCCTCGCTTTGGGTTTAACTTTTCTAAATAGAACCCTCAACTCGTTAATGCACGCAACAAGAAAACATACGCAATGCACGCAACAATGATATTCGCTCACCTTATGCTATGCAAAACCAAATCGGAGAGTGATGGTTCGAACTCCAAAACTATAGCAAGAGGGCTTAAGCAATGGCATAAGGGCAAACTGGACGAGCTTTTTAACGTGGGAAAAGCGCTGAAAATGCGCTTGGTAAAGAGAAAAAAAAAGAAAGTAGAAACTGAAGCACAGCAATTTAATAAACTAATGAGCACCGGAAAAATATCGAGTGACAGGAGCCAAAATCGCACAAAAAATATCATTAGAAAAACTACGTCCTGAGCTTCTCGAACCATCAAATGCCTGTCGACTAGTTCCACTTGAGAAAAACCGAGGAGTTAGGCCAATTGGCATAGGCCTTCCGCAGAATTAAAGGTAGAACGATCACAAAGTGCTTAAAAAGCGAACTTATGGTACTCGGATCGATTCACCAACTATGCCGTGGCCAAAAATGTGGCATCGAATATGCAATTCACACGCTTAGGAAGCAGTACGAGAAAACAGATTCTGATGCAATATTACTGATAGACGCAGAAAGAGCATTTAACTCCCTAAACCGGAACCTAGCTTTAAAAAACATTGCAAATATATGCTACCTTCCATACTACCCTCTATACAGAACTCAAACTCTAATCCATCCAAACTCTTCGTAAATAAAAAAAAAGTTATCATATCTAGAGAAGGAACCACAAAAGAAGTCCCATTAGCAATGGCGATGTACGGGCTAGCCACTTTACCTTTAATAAAACCAGTCAAAGATAACGGCTTAACTCAGAAATGGTATGCAGACGATGAGAACGCAGTCAAAATTTGAAAAGCCTGCGAACAGTTCTTGACAAATTTATCAAACACGAAAACTATTTATCATATAAAGGCATCGAAATGCCAGCTCATTGTAAAAGATGAAAAATACAATGAGGCGTTAAAAGTGTTCAAAAATACTGAAATTCAAATGAAGAAAGGGGCCAGAGCACTTGGTTCTGTCATAGGATCCGAGACTGAATGTAAAACTTTCTTAGAAACTCAGTTAGACGAACATAACCAAATACTATAAAAACTTCGCAAGATCGCAAAAACATCACCACAAAACGTGTACTCCTGTTACACCAAAGGGGTACACGAAAAATGATCGTTTTTAGCTAACACAGAAAACATGCGGACCTGCCAGAAGATACTGCTGGAAAATCTCACTCATAATTTTAAGATTATATTAGCCATCAACTTAGAGACATCGCTTCTTTGCCACTGAAAATGGGTGGTCTAAATATCAAGCTACCTTCTGACGATGAGAACTTTTTAGAATGGTCAATTAAAACATCGTCAGTCTTAGACACATACGACCCATTAACAGCTACATCTGAGCAAGAAAAAATCCATACAAAAACTAAAACACTTTAGACTGAAAGAACAAACCAAAAGAGAACTAACATTTTGAACAACTTAAGCGGCAGTGCAAAAACGCACTTGAGCTAGCCTCCCATAAAGGAGCCTAAAACTGGCTATTATAGAGGAGGGACGGTTGAAGTAAATACCTTTAATGACAATGCATTAAATGCTGACTTGACTTAATTCCTGCAAAATTGTTTTTTGATGTATTTATATAATTCTGGTATGGGCCCTATCCAGCTTGTGCACGACCGTACCTAAACGGAAGGGCCCCTTTTATAATTTACCTTTTTTGTTGATACTTAAACTAAATCCTTACTCGTCCTTCTGCATCTAGGATTGTCGATCACTGACTAGCAAAATGGGGAAAACACGGGGATATAAGCTTCACAGAAGACTAGTACGGTGAACGAAGTAAACTGGGAGAAACATAAATTTGTCGCTGGATAACTGATTAATTTTGATGAAATTTTTCACATCCCATTCCCTAGAGTTTACTGTTAATAATCACTATGATTGTCTTGCAGATAATGAACGAAACTTCAACAAAAAGTGAAGAAAATTGAATACAAAAATCAAGGCAATAACAACACGCAATTCATCTTGAAATTTTGATTGACCTGCTTGGATTCGTACAGAAATAACACTGAAAATTATATGAAACAAAGTAAGCTTGAAAAAACATAAAAATTAGTGTTAAATTGAAAAAACATTTGTTTTCATAGCGTTTAAATCGTTTAAGCCTTAGGCCCTCCGCAAACTTCGATAGCAATGTTGTTTCAATTCTAAAGATTACCAGTAGACAAAAACAAAAAAGTAGGCCAAAAATCAAGTCTCGAGAACTATTAAAAAACCAATACATCTTAAACTATTTTAAGTCGACGGTGTACAGAAATTTAAACAAGAGAAGCTAAGATTTTCATGTTTCAGTGAGTTTCACCTGAATGAACCCATGGGGCAGTTTAAAAAATATTAAAAACAACTCTTAAAAATAGCACAATTAAGTGATGAAACGGAGCTATAAACAAACAGAACAGTTTTTGTTCCGATCAGTCAAATTGGAAGAAACTTTTGTTGGGGTGTGTTTTATTTTTTGTTTTCCACGCAAAATCAGGAACCACGAATAATTATCGGAATGGGTCGAGTGTTTCGTCTTATTACAGACCTTTGAGCCGAGAAGTTCAGTAGAGAAAAACCGGTTTGAATATTTCGACTTTAAGTCTAATTTCGAGCAAAATAGCAAGCGAGAAGGTTTATTTTAGATGGATAAGACGTAAAACTTTCGTTCAAGCCCTGAAAATTGAAACTTAATTCAGTTTAAGTAGTTTTCGTTGTTTTTCTTGCGCCATCTCAAGAATAAACCAATTTCAAGATTTTTTTTGTTTTTCGCAGGGGTGGATCTAGGATTTTCGCAGGGGCATATCTAGGATTTTCGAGGGGGGGGGGGTTCCGGATTTTCAAAAAACTTTGTAAATTTTGTCGACTTTTTTTTTAGGTCGACCGAATTGGTTTACCGAGTTCTCCTCCCAAAACATTAAAAAGTCCCTGTTTCGGCCAAAATTTCTGCACCGCAGGCGAAACTTATAAAAAAAAAACACCCCAAAAGGCGTTTTTAGGTACTTTTTGGAAAATTTTTACCAAAAAAATGGCGTTTTTTCGCCGCGCGGTCCCCCAATAAAATTAGTATATATTGGCGCCAAAGGCGCCTCTAGAAAAACTTTAGGGTCCGTCAGCCAAAATTGGATATTTCAAAATAGTTCAAAGGGGGACCCTTTTGGTCGGCAGGGGGTCGAATCCAACTTCCAAAACAGCTCTCAAACTGCTGAATTTGAAAAAAATGGTTGATGAGCGAATTTAAGCCAAAAAAACTTCCGAGAAAAACTTAATTTCTAGGTTCGATCGGTCCACAAACAGTTCGTTTCTGAAAAGTCCCACCGGTTATCCAATTATAGTTTTGTTTTGGCATTTTTTTGTTCAAAGTCA